GATCGTCTGGTACAGATGCGATTATTTGATTATTTGGAATATTGCTGATTACGGCCTACAATTTTATGCATTTTGGCCAGGTGTCATAGCTTTGCATTTAGGCTGTAAGTTGGCAGATTTGTTAAACTGTATAAGGTGTAAGTTTGCAGATTTTGTTCAACTGTATAAGGTGTAAGTTTACAGATTTTGTTAAACTGTATAAGGTGTGTTAGACCTAATTCAATCAAATCTACCTGTAATATAGTTTTAATGTTTCATTCAGCCGTACATAAATTTTAATTTCAATAGCATTTCGAAAAATCTGAAACCGATCTATTCATTTGAAAGCATGGTCCAACGGAATGTGCAGGCGTCGCTGTGGTATGGTAGAAGATGTGAATTCGAAAGTTTTTTCAAAGGCCTTAAGAAATTTCTTAGCCAGAGTATCATTTATAAGGCGATTATGAGGACAAGCGAGAGTATAGTTGGCTTTAATATCTTCAGACTATACGTGTGTGTATTGCAAAGTTTCTGCTGTCCTTAACATCTCCCAGTGTGTCGTGTCAGTTTCAACCACGTGAATTTCGTGCAGCGCGTGCACTACAGTCGCTCCGACTCACGGCGGACGGGAAACCTATGGTGATGCGGCCTTAGCCAGGTTATAAAACTTGGACAGACTGTAGACAGGTGCGTCAGTCAGCCAGTTAGATATATGGTAACCATGGAGATAGGAACGTTTGACAAGCAACACATGAATTTGATTGCCAGGGGTATGAAGTGACACAGTAGCTGGGTAGTCCTGTGAAATTTTCAGAACTGAATGCACCGAGATACTATTTCCTTCACTCTACACATACAAATGGCAGCCTCGGAATAAAGCAACTTTGTTCAAGCATGTTCTTTAATAAAACCGCAATTAATGATTGTGGACAAGGCACGGACTCGATCTGTTGTATTATGTAGCTAAAACTGAAAACAGTCTTGGAATATTATGTATAGCATGTTGATGCAAGTCATCAGACGGTGACAAATCCCCCAGGCCCCCACAAATTCGAAAGAAAAAGTCATCTGGCTGTTACTTTAAGTCCAACTTGATGAGCGAATATCTATCTAATCTGTCTGTCCTATACAAGATTGTGAGCTTTGTATTTCTACGTCAGGTACTCACCAATATGAACAAGTCAAGATCAAATTTGTTGCGTGTAAACAGAATAAAATATCAATTCAATGTAGAAAAAGGCACCATTTGACAAACTGGTTTTTGTGTGTGTAAAGTGTCATGAAAGAATACCTGTAAGTTTTAGAAACATGGTCCGGACAAACACACCACTATAAACAGTCAAAGTCAAACTTGTTGCCATGGCAACATATTTTTCAAAAATAATTCCTTCATAGCAAAAGGCACCACTTCAGCCATTGATTAATACATGTACCAAGTTTGGATGAAAAATGTCAGTCTAGGTTTTTAGTTCTGCTCCGGAAACACCTACCTCTGTTTCAGCTCAGTCTAACTTGTTAAAAATGGCAACAGAGGGAAATCAAAATTAGAAAATTTCTAAATAGCAAAAGGCACCACGTCAGCCCTTAGTTAATACATGTACCAGGTTTGGGTGAAAAGCCTTTCACAGTTGTCATGGTGTGCTCCGGAAACGACACCTACCCCTCCCTTTTGAGACTAAATCCAAATTGTTTCCATGGAAATCGGGAAAAATAAAAATGCCAAAAATCTGCAAATACTAAAAGGCACTATTTCAGGATCTGTTTGATATATCAACCACGCTTTGCTGTTCAAAAAATATCGGACGGTTTCTGAGTTGTGCTCCGGAAACGAAATCCACCACCCCCTCTTGAGACTAAGTACAAATTGTTTCCATGGAAATCGAGAAAAATAAAAATGCCAAAAATCTGTAAATAGCAAAAGGCACCACTTCAGGATCTGTTTGATATATCTACCATTTTTTTGTTGTTGAAAAATATTGAACAGTTTTAGAAAGGATGACCGGCGGTCGGACAATAAAATGTCAGTGCCAGTACCTTTGCACCTACCCAATCACAGTAAAGGCAAACAAAGGAATGAACAAATGAATCAATTCTAAACAATTGTAGTTACACTCAAAGTTGACTACAGTTCAAGGTTATGCTTGTCATAAGAGGCGACTAACGGGATCTGTCTGGCTCCATGACTTGGCTGATGCATATCGACCATCGTTTCCGAAAGATCAATGATATCAATCACTGGATTGTTTGGTCCGTCATAAAAGCATTCAATCTGAACACAACAGACCATGCATGGGGCGATTTTAGAGTATCATACATTGGGCCCCACCATAATTATATCATACGTCACTCCCACTTTCAGGACCGCCTCCATGGTCGAGTGAATAGAGCGTCTGATCTGGAGGACGAATGTCGGTGGTTAGATCACCTGGCCTGATACTGATACTAAGAGATGGTAAAAGATGACCAGTACTTATTGTTACCCTGTGTGCTGCATGCTCGCCATTAATGGGATAAAACAAGGACTGGTCGGCTCGGAGTCCGTATATTGTGTCTGAGGACCTGTGAACATCCGACTTAGAATGGCCTTCAGCAACCCATGCTTGCATTAAGAGGCGACTATGCTTGTCATAAGAGGCGACTTATAGGTGATCGGACCGTGAAGAAAAGGTCCGTGGTAGAATACGTCTTCAGCAACCCATATGCAAAAGGCGACTATGCTTGTCGTTAGTGGTAGCTAACGCGATCGGTTGGTCAGGCTCGGTGACTTGGTTGATGCATGTTATCGTATCCCATTTGCGTGGACTGATGCTCATGGTGTCAATCACTGGATTGTCTGGTCCACTCTCGATTATTTACAGGTGAGGTCAAGTCTATGACATTTAGCAAGTCTAGATTACTACAGTATCTAAAACTGATATATCCCACCTCTTCAAACCTCACTTTGGAGTCGAATAAAATTCAGTACACATCACGCACACAATTACACTTCACAGGTTTTCATTCTATGGGAAATTCCCGGTTTTGTGATAACATCCACTGCCATTTTAGGCAAAGCAGAATTACTGACAATTACCTCTGTAAATTAGGTACGTGAAAAATCACGCCATTTTTAAACATTACTAAGTCACAATTCACGGCGTTATTTACAGCATGTTCTGAAATTTAAATTTCGGATAATTACTGAGAGAAATTAATTTCAAAAAGAACATATTAGTGATCACGGGTATCTGTCGTTTATCAAATCACCCATGATCATTCCAAAACGTCGCCGATAACCCAAGAATCGTTAGAATGTTTTAGAAAATATGCAAACACGAACGCCGACGTAAACTTTGCGCCATACATATATTGGATAGTGTTTACAAAATCCCGTTTCACCTACGTCGAATTAAGAGACGCCTATAACATCACATATGTTTCACACTCAGCTATTATACATACATCCTTGAATGCTTTGGTCCTTGTCCTTGTCCTTGTCACCAACACCAAGTGTCCAGAAAAAATCAAGAAAAATAAATTAGGTTTGGAAACGAACGCTCTGCTCGGAGGAAAACTACACTTCTTAGAAATATAAACAAAGCAAAATTCAGATGTTACACAGTGTAGCATTTTCTCCTATTTTGAGCTATCCATTCGTCTATTCGTTGCATCCATTAGCGCACCATTTCAGACTATGCATGGGAAGAGAATCGTAGCACGAAGTAGGGACTTAAAAATATATACATTGCAATGATTTTGTAATTCTACAACAATTGTCAAAGTTTCCGTCCTGCGTGACGCCATGACTGACGCAAAATCACGCACAACCACATGGTATTTCTTGAAAAATATACAAACAAATCAAAGTACACAGATTCTCGGAATGTTTCTGCTTACTTACGTGTCACAACCTTCACTTTTCAGATTTTATGAAAATGTGCGTTAGAAAAACAACTCGGCAACCAGCAGGTAAACAAAGCTGTCACACACACATTCATGTAGTATCTAGTGGAAATTGTATGCATATTTCTCAATTTGTACTGTTTTTTTGTGTATGTTTGTTGTTTAACCCCGCACTCAGCAATGTTCCAGCTATATGATGGCAGTCTCTAAATACTCGAGTCTAGACCACACACACACACCAGTGATTGACATCATGAGCATTGATTCGCGCAATTGGGATAGGATGACATGCATCAACTAAAGGCGCCTCTTATGGTAGGCATGGGTTGCTGAAGATCTATTCTATATCTTCACGGGTCTCAATTTGTACTGAATCTCCATGCTTCAAACTGTGTCTGTAACATTAATACCAGGAACATGTATTATTTAGAAAATCTATGCTACGCTGAGAGAAAACAGTAATTAGCTTAGTGGTTCAGTAGATGTATAGCAAACCAAAACTCTTTTGGCACTTTAATTCATATCAAGGTCCTCATAAGTATTTAAAGTCGGATGTGAAGAACCAAAAGTTTCTTTTTTCTGTATTGGGTCAACATTTGGCTCCTGTTGTCTGCTCAGTTTCTGTCCACACCGGCTAACACAAGTCACGTTATGTCATATGGTATAATTTCTGAACATAATGCAGATCCCTTTTCCATTACACAATTAAAGCTAAAATTTGTGTTAACATAAATCCATTGTTCCTTTAAAGAAAATTATTGCATGTAAGTGCAACTCAGGCAAAGCAAGTCTGAGACAGAGGCTTTTTGATTGAAAATATTTCTTTAGTTTACTGTTTTTCAGGCCAAGATGAGATTTGACTTGATACCACTGATAGCTGGGTCACTGCCAAGGTTTCGAACGTGCACGGACAAAGGTAATGACGTCATGTTGTCAGCACCTTCAGGCCCTCTGTGAAAGATTTAGATCAAGATTTGCTCTGGGAGGTTTCAACCGGACTGGTTTCCTTCTCTGTGTGGCGCGACGAGTTCTTGGAACCAGTTTTAATAAGCTCCTCACATCGATGTATTTTCCCCTACACATTCAATAATGGTATCCATACCGCGGGTAGCATGCAAAGCAATGGAGCTTTTTCTGAAACGCAAGGAAAACTAGTTCCACGATATTGTTGCGCCCGAAACTTAGAGACGGGACCAAGCTTTCGTCCGTGTCCAGCGGCCAGCGCAGTAGTGCCATCCAACACGACCTTGAACTTTCTTGAACCAGAAAATGGCGACCAGGAAGTGAGTTTTGGAAGTGATCGTGATAGTGTTTGCTGTTTTATAAGCAAAATATGAAATGTCATGGGATACCTTATCAGCCCGTGGATACATAAGGTAGTATCTTCACTATTTATATTTTTAAAATATATTTTGAAAGTATAGAATAAGTTCTAGACACGGATCTAGCAAGACTTGAAATCGACTGCACCAACGGGCACTGGGTGCGGCCGAGGCAAGACATGCTCACTGGTGTCAATCCTCCCTCCTCTCAGGAAATAATGGAGCAATGTTCGTTAATATATTATGACCGCTAATTGTGAATGAACCGCATTCTTTTATCCATAGAGCCACGGTAAGTGTCTCCAGTGCGAATTGGATTGTTTTGTCTTTCTCAGAAAAAATCACTCCGGGAAGCTGAAACTCGGATGATCGCTCTAATATCGTCAGCCTGAAGTTTGTTCAAAAGATAAGCATGCTATCGTTAACCATTACCCGTATGTTATTTGTTCAGATAATTTAAATTTATTGATGTGGCCATTGACTTTGGTTTTGAAATAGCAGGTTTTGACAGTAATTAACCATGGTAACTTAAAATTGGCACAGAGACCATAATCTATTTTATGGTTTCTGCTTGCCTCAGTGATATCTCATGATCTTTAAAAATGTGTTGATTTTAAAAAAATTAACTGTGCACAGCAAGCAGTAACTTTGATATGATATGTAAAAGAACATAGTGATTGAGAGCTGTTATATAAGGACATGGCTCCATTATGACAGGCTCCGCTATCATGCATGATAGCAGAACTTCAAATTAAGACAAGAGATATTATTGGATGAAATGGCCGCGGATGTGGAGGTACTGGTGGACTGCAGAAATGAGCTTAACCCCTGTTAAGTGACCCCAACCGTTGCCAAGCAACCCATTTTGCTTACCAATGCAGTGCCCGCTGCCCTGCAACTACCGTTGCCAAGCAACCCATGTTGCTATGCAGCTAGCGCTGCCAGGCAAGTACCATTGCCAAACCATGAGCGAGGGCAACTATTGTTGCCAAGCTGACCATCTGCTGTAAAGCAGAATGGATAAATTGGTTCCTGCTGTAAAGCGGGCAACCCTGTCCTAAATAATTTATAATTTGGGATGTATCCCAAGACGCCAAATGTAACTTGTAATGCAGTCCACCAGCAGCCCGCCACAATTACATTTCTGCTTGTAGAATAATTTAGACATAAAAATGTTAAAAAATACACTTATATCTAGTACTTTAAGAAACATTTTCACAGAAACCACAGACCTAGAACTTTTGCTATGATGTGTAATTATGCAATGGGATTTATTTTTGACCCAAAATGTAAAGAAGTACCTTATTTTTTTATAAATTGATATTTTACCTAAATTAATTTTAACTTTTTCAGATCTTCCAAGAAGTTATAGGGATGCAGTGTGATTGCAGTGTGAGTGATATGGAGAAACACAAGGGGACTCAAAGCTGTTCATGCCAGTAAAAAATAACAATACACTTAACTTTTTTATCGGGGTATGACAAGGACACCTTGATTTTTATGCTTAATTTCGCAGCACGTTTACTTCTCAGAAACTGTGGTGCTGGTTTACATCAGTTGTTAATCATCATTCTATAAACTTCCTTTGACTTTGACCTTTGAGCTCTGACAACAAACCAACCACATGATTCGGTTTAGTTTGTGGTTCTGGCTCTATGACCATGACCTGTAAAAAGTGTGGACCAGACAATCCAGTGATTGACATTGTGAGCAAGGATCTACTCTGTTGCATACATTGACCTGACCACCTGGTCCATTCCGTTGGTTACAATGACCTGACCACCTGGTCCATTCCGTTGGTTACAATGACCTGACCACCTGGTCCATTCCGTTGGTTACAATGACCTGACCACCTGGTCCATTCCGTTGGTTACAATGACCTGACCACCTGGTCCACAGTGGTGGGAACAATGGTCTGACTAACCAGTTTCAACTGCTGGATACAATGACCTGACCATTTGACCCATTCTGTTGGTTACAATGACCTGACCATTTAACCCATTCTGTTGGTTACAATGACCTGACCACCTGGTCCATTCCGTTGGTTACAATGACCTGACCATCTGACCCATTCCGTTGATTACAATGACCTGACCATTTGACCCATTCTGTTGGTTACAATGACCTGACCATCTGACCCATTCCGTTGGTTACAATGACCTGACCATTTGACCCATTCTGTTGGTTACAATGACCTGACCATTTGACCCATTCTGTTGGTAACAAAGACCTGACCATCTGACCCATACTGCTCCTGCAAGGGGGTGGAATGTCCATGTTCGCCATCAGTAATCTGGCTCTTGTGTTTCCAATAGGTGTGTCTTGTACTGTAGACCCAAGGCAAGTCCTATGTTAGATGCTGCTGTGTTTTGTCCAGGATTGCCTGTCTTGATTCCTTTGCACAACTTCACATCAGGTGTGATGAAGTCACTCATGACACATTTCAATGTCATTTTCAAGCATGTATTATCTCTCCTTGGCTATCTGCAGGTGAGGCTTGTCATAGTCAGTAGATTTGAATGATGCGATCTCGGAGCTGTGTTCCATGCCTCGGCCATCTTTTCATTGTCATACACCCTCCATATCAGCTTTGCTTGACTCTTGTTTCAGGTCTTGCTTGCTGGCCGCAGTTTGACCCAACAGCCACACAGAAGTAGAGATGCAGTCACAGAGACAGCCATCCAACCTGGACTTGGTGACCAGTGAGAAGTCTTCAGCACTCATCCTGGTGACAGTCCTGGATATCTGGGGCGGAGAGGCACTTTCTGACTCTTCAGATCGAAAGGTGAGACCTTTGTTCCAGGCAGCGTGGCCCTTGCTGAACTGTGACTTGATTCTGTTGCCACTGACTTTCATCGTGATTGTTTTATTAGAAACTCTCAAGATCAACACATGTCTTGTGCCAGCAGTCCAAATTGCAATTGAGCTCTACACACAGTCTGATAATTTTGGGGTATTGGCTGATTGTCAGCTGAGAGTGGTCTCCCCTGGTGGCTCGCTGCACTTGATTGGCTGTACCACAGCCACCTGTGCAATGTATCAGTTTAATGAGTAAAGATAGGGCTTTTTTGGAATGAACATTTAATAGTTTTGATTTTTATTTTTGTTGAAAAATTTGAACTTTAGTTCAATTATTTTATAAAAACATGCATGTAAGTATTTAAAAATAGGCAAAAAAAATACAGGTTTAACCTGACTAATATTGTTGTTTGCTAGATGTTGGATCCAGGCTGATAATTTTGTGGTTTAAGTGGCAAGTGGCAGGTTGGTCAGCATGCAACAGGAGAACGGCCTATGACCAATATTAATTATGGTGGGCTGTCATGTCACTGTAGATAACAAAGAAGGAAAGTAATTATGGTCTGAGGTCTTGTGATCTGAGTGGCCATATAGATTATGTGTTCGTGTTAAATTGCAGCATAATCTCAGTGAGTTGACATAAAACTGGCATGAGTCTGGACTTTTACACACGCACGCACGCATGCATGCATGCCTCCCTCCCTCACCTCACCTCACCTCACCTCACTCCACCGCACCCTGCCCCACCTCACCTCACCTCACCAAACCACATCTCACCCACCTCACCTCACCCCATCCCACCTCACTCCACTGCACCCTGCCCCACCTCACCTCACCCCACCCCACCTCACTCCACCCCACCTCACTCCACTGCACCCTGCCCCACCTCACCTCACCTCACCTCACCTCACCCTACCACACAACAACATACCCCACCCCACTTCACCTCACCCCAACCCAGGGTGTCTTAAGGGTGTTGTTTCTCCGGAAATGGTCAACTGTTCAACTAGACAGTGTATAGTAACCAGACACATCATAGCATGGGTAGGTGTCGATTACAAGGTGTCTTAAGGATGGATTTGTGCAGTTTCTGGTTAAGGTAATTCTCTGGACATGAATGAAGTGTTCAGATTGGCTCTGTTCTCAGAGCATACTGAGTGAGTGAGTATGTTTTTACGCCGCTTTTAGCAATTTTCCAGAAATATCACGGCAGGGGACACCAGAAACGAACCCGGGTCTTCGGCCTGACGATCCAGCGCTTTAACCACCTGGCTACCCAACTGGCCCAATAGCAGATACATGACAGCATGGGTAGATTTAGATTACAGGGTGTCTTAAGGGTGCTTTGTGCTGTTTCTGGTTAAAGTCGTTATCTGGACGTGGGTCAAGTGGTCCAATAGACTGTGTTCTGTGACCAGATACATCATAGCATGGGTAGATTTAGATTACAGGGTGTCTTCGGGCTGTTTTTTGTTGTTTCTGGTTAAAGTCCTCCTCTTGAGATGGGTCAAGTGGTCAAATAGACTATGTATACTGACCAGATACATCATAGCATGGGTAGATTTAGATTACAGGGTGTCTTCGGGCTGTTTTTTGTTGTTTCTGGTTAAAGTCCTCCTCTTGAGATGGGTCAAGTGGTCAAATAGACTATGTATACTGACCAGATACATCATAGCATGGGTAGATTTAGATTACAGGGTGTCTTCGGGCTGTTTTTTGTTGTTTCTGGTTAAAGTCCTCCTCTTGAGATGGGTCAAGTGGTCAAATAGACTATGTATACTGACCAGATACATCATAGCATGGGTAGATTTAGATTACAGGGTGTCTTCGGGCTGTTTTTTGTTGTTTCTGGTTAAAGTCCTCCTCTTGAGATGGGTCAAGTGGTCAAATAGACTATGTATACTGACCAGATACATCATAGCATGGGTAGATTTAGATTACAGGGTGTCTTCGGGCTGTTTTTTGTTGTTTCTGGTTAAAGTCCTCCTCTTGAGATGGGTCAAGTGGTCAAATAGACTATGTATACTGACCAGATACATCATAGCATGGGTAGATTTAGATGACAGGGTGTCTTAGGGCTGTTTTTTGTTGTTTCTGGTTAAAGTCCTCCTCTTGAGATGGGTCAAGTGGTCAAATAGACTATGTATACTGACCAGATACATCATAGCACGGGTAGATTTAGATGACAGGGTGTCTTGAGGGTGTTTTGTGTTGTTTCTGGTTAAAGTCCTCCTCTTGAGATGGGTCAAGTTGTCAAATAGACTATGTATACTCACCAGATACATCATAGCATGGGTAGATTTAGATAACAGGGTGTCTTAGGGGTGTTTTGTGTTGTTTCTGGTTAAAGTCCTCCTCTTGAGATGGGTCAAGGGGTCAAATAGAGTATGTATTCTGACCAGATACATCATAGCATGGGTAGATTTAGATTACAGGGTGTCTTGAGGGTGTTGGATGTAGCTTCAGGTTCAGGCATCCTGATAATATCTAGGAGATAAATCAGGGAATATCAGAGCTTCATCACTCGCTCACTCACACTCACACGCTCACTCACACGCTCACTCACTCACTCACACGCTCACTCACTCACTCGACGCTCACTCACACGCTCACTCACTCACACGCTCACTCACTCACTCACACGCTCACTCACTCACTCGACACTCACACGCTCACTCACTCACATGCTCACTCACTCACTCACATGCTCACTCACACGCTCACTCACTCACTCACACGCTCACTCACTCACTCGACACTCACACGCTCACTCACTCACATGCTCACTCACACGCTCACTCACTCACACGCTCACTCACTCACTCACACGCTCACTCACACGCTCACTCACTCACTCACACGCTCACTCACTCACTCACACGCTCACTCACTCACTCGACGCTCACTCACACGCTCACTCACTCACACGCTCACTCACTCACTCACACGCTCACTCACTCACTCGACACTCACACGCTCACTCACTCACATGCTCACTCACTCACATGCTCACTCACTCACATGCTCACTCACACGCTCACTCACTCACTCACACGCTCACTCACTCACACGCTCACTCACTCACACGCTCACTCACTCACTCGACACTCACACGTTCACTCACTCACTCACACGCTCACTCACTCACTCGACACTCACACGCTCACTCACTCACATGCTCACTCACTCACATGCTCACTCACACGCTCACTCACTCACTCACACGCTCACTCACTCACACGCTCACTCACTCACACGCTCACTCACTCACTCGACACTCACACGCTCACTCACTCACTCACACGCTCACTCACTCACTCACACGCTCACTCACTCACTCGACACTCACACGCTCACTCACTCACATGCTCACTCACTCACATGCTCACTCACTCACATGCTCACTCACACGCTCACTCACTCACTCACACGCTCACTCACTCACACGCTCACTCACTCACATGCTCACTCACACGCTCGCTCACTCACTCACACGCTCACTCACTCACACGCTCACTCACTCACACGCTCACTCACTCACATGCTCACTCACACGCTCACTCACTCACACGCTCACTCACTCACACGCTCACTCACTCACACGCTCACTCACTCACATGCTCACTCACTCACACGCTCACTCACTCACACGCTCACTCACTCACACGCTCACTCACACGCTCACTCACTCACACGCTCACTCACTCACTCACTCGATGCTCACTCACACGCTCACTCACTCACTCACACGTTCACTCACTCACTCACATGCTCACTCACTCACTCACTCACTCACTCACTCACTCACTCTCTGGACATGGGTCAAGTGGTAAAAAAAACTCTGATCAGACACAACATATCATGGGTAGATATGGCCTAACTTTGGTTGCTGGTGATTTATAGCCCATTTTTATATTGTATTGTTGAATAATGATGTATTCTTTTGAATATTCTAAACTAGTTTTAAAATCGAAACTGTGATACTCTAGTTATTATACTGTTCATCGTTGACAGCTTTTTATACAATCTTGATGTAATTATTATAAATGTTTCGTCACGATATGGCTGAAATACTGCCGATGTGACGTTAAATTTTACTCACTCATTCACGGGTTGATATAAATTACAGGTTGTCTTAAGGGTGGTTTATGGTGTTTCTGGTTAAAGTCATTCTCTGGACATGGATCATGTGGTCAAATAGACTGCTTTTTAGTGATGTGAGGTGAAAGTGGGGTTTAACATCATGTTCAAGATTATTGCACTTATATAGAAACATGCATGGTTGTTTGTGTGTGGCTGCTTGTACCAGTCTGAACTTATGCCAATTTTATTGTGGTATCCCACTGAGATACCATTTCACACTTTAACATGAATACGCAACTCAGACACAGTATACTGACTCCAAGAGGACCAGTCCTTGTTTTAGCCCCTTATTGCCTAACAACAGGCAGGGTAACAACAAGTACCATTCTTTAATGTCCTTGGTATGACATGTTTCATATCAAACTCCCAGCCTTTCACCCTCTTGGCAGACGCCCATCCACCAGACCACGGAGGCGGTTCTGTTGTTTAGTGGTCAGATACATCATAGCATGAGTAGATTTAGATTACAGGGTGTCTTAAGGGTGGTTTGTGGTGTTTATAGTTAAAGTCATATAGTTTCACCCTTCGGGCAGACGCCCATCCACCAGACCACGGAGGCGGTTCTGTTGTTTAGTGGTCAGATACATCACAGCATGAGTAGATTTAGATTACAGGGAGTCTTAAGGGTGGTTTGTGGTGTTTATAGTTAAAGTCATATAGTTTCACCCTTCGGGCAGACGCTCTATCCACCAGCCCACGGAGGCGGTTTTGTTGTTTAGTGGTCAGATACATCACAGCATGAGTAGATTTAGATTACAGGGAGTCTTAAGGGTGGTTTGTGGTGTTTATAGTTAAAGTCATATAGTTTCACCCTTTGGGCAGACGCCCATCCACCAGACCACGGAGGCGGTTCTGTTGTTTAGTGGTCAGATACATCACAGCATGAGTAGATTTAGATTACAGGGTGTCTTAACTGTTGGCCAGTAGACCAGCAAAGATGTCATGACTCTCCAGACACCATAGGCCGGCCTACCAGCCAGCGTGTATACAAGTAAACTACGAATAAGTATACATCCTATACTCGCGTTAACAAGTCATGTGACTACAGGAAACAAGAGTTGGTGTATTATGGGGTGTTTATTTTGAAAGTTTCTTTAGATAGCTGAATTTTCGGAAAGTAAACTTTGCGTTGCGATTTGACTTGGAACACTCGTGTGTTATGACTGCGAGTCATGATTCAGATAGCGATGAGATGTCAGACAATGATTTTATTGAAGATGTTCGCGGTTTTGATATGCTTGAACTAAATCCTGAGGATGAACGGGAAATACGCAAACTTTTGCTCTTGATGTCATATAGCTGAGTGCAGTGTTCAACAACAAACAAACAAGATAAATATATGTATGTGTGTTGGTTGATGCATATCATTGTATTCCAAGTGCTTAAATCAATGCTCTTGATGTCGATCACTGGATTGTCTGGTCCCGACTTGATTATTTACAGATCACTGTCATATAGCTGGAATATTGCTGTTTGTAGCATCAACAAACTAACAAACAATCCAAACAATCCCCCCTTCTATCAGGGGTGGCATGTATTTTAATATAGTTCTACTCAAACTTATCTCAAATACAAAACCAATAGAACCAAATAAGTCATCAAAGTGTTATTAATTTTTGTTTAATTTTCATGTTAGGTGAAGAATAATCAAAGGGAGATAATCCACTCATTCAACACCTGTCAGTCCACCTCCTACTGTCAACTGTGCTATCTGGTGTTTGAAAACATATTAGTTCGCTGTCTGTGTATGATATTGGATAGTTAAGTGATTTATTTCAGCCTTTTGTATTTTGTCCTCTCTTTTTTTCACTTGTCTCGTTAACCAAAGTTAACGAGATGATATTTTTTGGGTGTTGCTGCTGCAAAATATGAACTTTTATTATTCTAGGTTCAAATAATACATTCATATAACTCAAAGGCATTCATATTTCAACTATTCAACAAGAAAAACTGTAAAAATCCTTTGTTATATTTTCAGGTGAAGAATACAGCCACATCCAAGGGAGATAATCCACTTTCATTGCACCTGCCAATCAAGCTTCTTCAGTAACCTATGCTGTCTAGTGATGTAAATATAATTAAATCCTATTGTCTTTGTATGCTACATGATAACATTCTAATTTGTTTCAACCTTTTGTGTTATTTCTCACATTTACTTACCTTGGCTAACCAGTTTACCTGGCCTAACGAGTATACCTCAAGTAGGCAGCAGCAGCAGCCATTACACACCTGTTCTGTTGTTCCACTGAAAAATATAACACAACAAGGTTAAATAGAAGTCATGTTTCCGAAATCAAACCTGTATTATTTGACAAATATTTTATTTATTGTTTCATGTGAAGCATTTCCACACCACCAGTTCTCACCTGTGCAACGCCTGGGTCACCTACTTTCCTCCATCTTCCCAAGGCAAGGGAATTAGGCAAGGCAAGGGACTATAAAAGTCCTGTTTCCACCCTTACCGAATTACGTTGGAATTTCATGGCTCGATCCTAGCACCACCAGTGGCAATCACGTGTTATGGCCCTTCGATGTCCATCCAACTGACCAGTCAGTTTCCACCTCCCTCTCATATCACTTCCATTTGCTCCAAACAATATGGTGGCGCATAGTCAAGATGATCTGACTTCCTATTTTGTTACATTGTCTGTTTTTCACTGATTGTTCACCTGTGAATACCTTTAATTAAAGAATGGTAGAAATTAAAACATTTTTTCATGAATTTTCAAGTGCTACACAATCTGGGCATTGCAGTGATAGGTAGCTTGTTGGTATTGCCACAAACATGAATGTACCAGAACAGTTTAAAGAAACAGGAATACTTTTCTTCACCAAGTCTCTGGGAACTTGGTGTGCAGGCGTTCAATGGCTGTAGGAACTTGATGTACCAAGGGAAATAACTCTGGTTGGCTTGTGTTGAAAGAGTTCAGGGTGTTTGTGCTGTGTCTGGTTCTACTACACTTAATCAGAATCAGTTGTGCCTGAGGCTACCTACCTACCTACCTACCTACCTACCTACCTACGTAAGAATAGCACTTTGAGCATGCCCCTGAGTGGTGTGGAAATATGTGCAATATAAATGGTCATTATTATTATTATTATTGTACATTAGAGTGTAATGGTATGGACTTTTATTAGATCGAACACTTGAGTCTTGTCATACTATCTCTTGGCTCAAGTATCATGTGTTGTACATTTTAGTGTTATCATGTGGACTTTTATAAGCTGAGCCTACTAGACTGAACAGCACATCACTTGATGCGGGCTTGGGGCCAGTGGCTAAAGTTGCAGACTGTGCATTTAGCTTCAATCTTGCTCTTAATCTACCTGCAGGGAACTCTCTTTGTTACAAAGTTTGAGATTTAAAACTTTGTACATGTGTCAACTGTTTGTGTAATTCTGTTGGAACCAAACGTCTGAAGACGTGACAAAAACCTGTAAGTCAGCGGGGAAGGTGGCATTCTGTGGTCACAATAAAGTCCTTTGATTGATTCCTCACGTATTAGGTCGCCTTGTTATTCCCCCCGGCATGTAATGGGGGGTTAATATAGTCGATGTCTTGTCTGTCTGTCCATCTGTCAGCCCTTCTGTCTGTCCGTCCATCTGTAATTATTTCATTTCTGGAGCACAACTCAAAAACCATTCAATATTTTACAACAAAACTTGGCAGATATATCAAACAGATCCTGAAATGGTGCCTTTTAATGTTTATGGATTTTGGGCAGTTTTTTAGTTTTTCTCGATTTCCATGGAAACAGTTTGGACTTTGTCTCTAAAGGTGGGATGAATTTTGTTTCTGAAAGCTGTCCAATATTTTTCAACAAAACTTGCCGGATGTATCAAACAGATCCTGAAGTGATGCCTTTTCCTGTTTGTGGATATTTGGTGTTTTTAATTTTCTCGATTTCCATGGAAACAATTTAGACTTAGTCTCAAAAAGGGTCGGGGTCAGTGTCGTTTCCAGAGCAGAATTTTAAAACTGTAAAAGAATTTTCTTCCAATCTGCTACATGTATTACATATTAGTTGAAGTGGTGCCTCTTGCTATTTAGAAAATTTTCAAAATTTGATTTTTCCCAGTTTCCTGTGGAAACAAGTTAAACTTAGCTGAAAAGGAGGCTGGTGTCATTTCTGGAGCAGAACTAAAAAGCTTTTCAACATTTTTAATCCAAACTGGGTACATTTATTAATCAAGGGCTAAGGTGGTGCCTTTTGCTATTTTATAGGAAATTAAAACATATTAATTTTTCCTGTTTACATGGCAACAAGTTTAACTTTGACTCAGTTCATAGTGGTGTGTTTGTCCGGACCATATCTCTAAAACTAATAGGTATTCTTTCTTGAAACTGCACACACAGAGACCAGGTTGCCAAATGGTGCCATTTGCTACTTATGGGTGTTTAGAATTTAGATCTTTTTCTGTTTCCATGGCAACAACTTTGACTTTGACTCTGTTCATAGTGGTGTGAACCTGACACAGAAATTCAAAGTTCCGAATCCCATGGGACATTGATGGTACATTGATGGTACATTGCTGGTACATTGATAGGACATGGCTAGGACATTGATGGGACATTGATGGGACATTGATGGGACATTGATGGGACATTGCTGAGACATTGCTGGTACATTGATGGGACATTGCTGGGGCATTGCTGGGACATGGCTAGGACATTGCTGGTTCATTGATGGGACATCGCTTGGACATTGCTGGAACATGGCTAGGACATTGCTGGTACATCGCTTGGACATTGCTTGGACATTAATGGTACATCAATGGAACATTGCTGGGACCATGCTGTGACATTGCTGGAACATTGCTGGGACATGGCTGGGACATTGTTGGGACATTGCTGGTACATTGATGGGACATGGCTGGGACATTGCTGAGACATTGCTGGTACATTGATTGGACATTGATGGGACATTGATTGGACATTGATGGGACATGGCTGGGACATCACTGGGACATTGATGGGACATTGCTGAGACATTGCTGGTACATTGATGGGACATGGATGGTACATTGATGGGACATCGCTGGGACATGGCTGGGACATTGATGGTACATTGATGGGACATCGCTTGGACATTGCTGGAACATGGCTAGGACATTGCTGGTATATCACTTGGACATTGCTTGGACATGAATGGTACATTAATGGAACATTGCTGGAACATTGCTTGGACATTGCATGGACAAGTGACATAAAGTCATACTCACTCACGGAGATCTAGTTTTTCAGGAGCTGTGAACATTTGGTTCTTAGCTGAACTTGGAGGGAATCATCTGAAGTGCTTTTATATGGCACTGAAGTCTACCAATACCATGGTGGAATTAATGGATTGAAAACAATCAGTTTGTCTATTTAAGATTCAAATTCTGCCCAGTTTGTGTTCAGCACAGAAGTTATATAGGACTGTCTTGTTATTTTTCTGTTCCCCTGAAGATTTTCACACTATGGTGTAGTGTGGTGCTGGGAGGATTTTGAGTGAATGTCAAGGTCAACAGAGGTCATCATGCCAAATGGGTGGGATTGTGTCTCATGCTATCTGTCATTGGTTTGCCTTATCCTAGGATATTGAGCACTCACTCACACACCCACTCACCCCTTCACTGACCTTACACCCCCCATCCATCCATTCACTCACCTACACCCCATCCACTCACCCATTCACTCACCTACCCACCCATCCCTTAACTCACCCACCCACCCATCCACCCGCCCCTTCACTCACCCACCCACCCATTCACTCACCTACCCTCACTTACCCATCCAACCACTCATTCACCCCTTCACTCACCCACCTACCCCTTCAACCCCTCATCAACCCACTCGCCCATTTACCCATTCACCCATCCCTTCACTCTCCTCATCACCCACCAACTCACCCATTCATTCACCCACTCACTCACCAACCCACTCATTCACCCACCCATGCATTCATCCCTTTATTTGGGGGGTCAGGCTCTCTGACTTGGTTGATGATGTCATCGTTTCCCAATTGCGTGGATTGATGCTCATGATGTCAATCACTGGATTGTCTGGTCCAGACTTGATTATTTACAGACCGCCGTCATATAGCTGGAATATTGCTGAGTGCGGTGTTAAACAAACAACAAACAAACCAGGGTGAGTGGATGGGTGATTGTTCCCCTGGATAGATGGGTGATTGTTCACAGATGTATGATTGTTTACCTGGGAGGATGGGTGATTGTTTACCTGGGTAGATGGGTGAATGTTTACCTGGGTAGATGGGTGATTGTTTACCTGGGTAGATGGGTGAATGTTTACCTGGGTAGATGGGGTGATTGTTTACCTGGGTGGATGGGTGATTGTTTATCTGTGTGGAGGGGTGATTGTTTACCTGGGTAGATGGGTGATTGTTTACCTGGGTAGATGGGTGATTGTTTACCTGGGTAGATGGGTGATTGTTTATCTGTGTGGATGGGTGAATGTTTACCTGGGTGGATGGGTGATTGTTTACCTGGGTAGATGGGGTGATTGTTTACCTGGGTAGATGGGTGATTGTTTACCTGGGTAGATTGGTGATTGTTTACCTGGGTAGATGGATGTTTGTTCACCAAGGTGGATGGTCTCAATAGGTCAAAGTTCATTTGGAGACAATAGTAATTTCTTGACAAGATTCAAGTGTACCAACAAACTGAGAATTTGTTTGTTTTTCTTCATCCGACTTTTTCAATTTGTTCCATATCCCCAAAAAAGAACCCTTGATTTCTTGAATGAGACTGAATTCATAATTGAACTGAGGTCCATGGATGCCTGAAAATTTGTCCTCATCTCCGATGGTCAACAGTTCTGACTCTATGACCAATTAGACAAGGGCGGCGACATGTTTGTAGTACCTACCTGACCTTTTTGCACCTAGAAACCTGCGTATTTATCTGTAGGATAGTTTTTATCTGTCGTCTTTATCCTGCTGAGTAAGCTGTCAAAGCTGCAGTGCTGTCAATGTGACTGGTTATGAAAATAGTTCCTGTCTATCAGATCATGACGTCCTGTGTGTAGTCACCTCTCATATACCAGGGGGGTTTCATTACTCAAGAATCACACACAAACTCAGGCCTCAAAGTTGACACTAAAATGGTCGTCAATTCGACCTAAATTTCAATTTGTCTACTGACAAAAAATTTCCACTAAGATACAATTTCAAGACTAGTGCTATGACTTGTACATGTTATAATAGTTATTTGATAAAAGATCATTTCAAATGCTTTTGGCTACCTACAATATTGGCTTGACTTCACCACTGGCTACCTGGTAAAAAATGCTTGTAGCCTAATGGCTACTTGGTAGAAATTTAAACTTTGAGGTCTGGTGCTGATTGTCCAGAACAGTTTTACATGCCCTTTGGAGTGTTCAAATTAAGCATGAAAGTCAAGGGGTCTTTGTCATAACCCTAATGGTCATATAACATTTTTCCATACTGATATGTGTGCATTTTATAAGAATGATTATGCACAGTATGTGTTGACAGGTGTTAATATGTATACATATTCTAAAAACTTGTGAAAACTGTACTGGAGCCCGCCTGGCCCTGAAATACAATAAACTTCTGTTATTCTGTTATTCAGTATATATTGAAGAAGAGCAACAAGGTCTAAGTTTCAAATTCTCATTTCAGGTCTTGCCTGATGACACAGCTCCATGCCTGTGAACTCCCAATGTTGTGCTGTGGCATGGCATGCTGTCCTGTGGTCGTGCCGTGCTGTGGCCGTGCCGTGCTGTGCCGTGCTGTGTCACACAATATGTCTAGATGTAACAAGTCTGTCCCAGACTGGGTAGGCTCCCCTTTTAGAGTCTTGGGGTGAGGGAACCAGGGCAGGGTACAATGCCCCTTTTAGAGTCTTGGGGGTAGGGAACCAGGGATAGGGTACAATGCCCCTTTTAGAGTCTCGGGGTTAGGGAGCCAGTAATAGGGTACAATGCCCCTTTTAGAGTCTTGGGGTTAGGGGACCAGGGATAGGGTACGATGCCCCTTTTAGAGTCTTGGGGTAAGGGAACCAGGGATAGGGTACAATGCCCCTTTTAGAGTCTTGGGGTTAGGGAACCAGGGATAGGGTACAATGCCCCTTTTAGAGTCTTTGGGGTTAGGGAACCAGGGATAGGGTACAATGCCCCTTTTAGAGTCTTGGGGTTAGGGAACCAGTGATAGGGTACAATGTCCCTTTTGGAGTCTTGGGGTTAGGGAACCAGGGATAGGGTGCAATGTCCCTTTTAGGGTATTGGGGTTAGGGAATCAGGGATAGGGTACAATGTCCCTTTTAGGGTCTTGGGGTTAGGGAACCAGGGATAGGGTACAATGTCCCTATTAGGGTCTTTGGGTTAGGGAACCAGGGATAGGGTACAATGTCCCTTTTAGGGTCTTGGGGTTAGGGAACCAGGGATAGGGTACAATGTTCCTTTTAGGGTCTTGGGGTTAGGGAACCAGGGATAGGGTACAATGCCCCTTTTAGAGTGTTGGGGTTAGGGAACCAGGGATAGGGTACAATGTCTCTTTTAGGGTTTTGGGGTTAGGGAAGCCAGGGATAGGGTACAATGTCCCTTTTAGGGTCTTGGGGTTAGGGAACCAGGGATAGGGTACAATGCCCCTTTTAGAGTGTTGGGGTTAGGGAACCAGGGATAGGGTACAATGTCTCTTTTAGGGTTTTGGGGTTAGGGAAGCCAGGGATAGGGTACAATGTCCCTTTTAGGGTCTTGGGGTTAGGGAACCAGGGATAGGGTACAATGCCCCTTTTAGAGTGTTGGGGTTAGGGAACCAGGGATAGGGTACAATGTCTCTTTTAGGGTTTTGGGGTTAGGGAAGCCAGGGATAGGGTACAATGTCCCTTTTAGGGTCTTGGGGTTAGGGAACAAGGGATAGGGTACAATGCCCCTTTAAGGGTCTTTGGGTTAGGGAACCAGGGATAGGGTACAATGCCCCTTTTAGAGTCTTGGGGTAAGGGAACCAGGGATAGGGTACAATGCCCCTTTTAGA